CCAGTTTATTTTTGGCCTTGTGCCACAAAATCTTTGATTATGCTTTAAATAAATTTCACAATATAAGCCGGTTCAGAACCGATTAATTCAGCTAACACTCTTAAACTGTTTGATAGACTAGGGAAACCATTTGATAATAATCGATAGACATGTCCATGTAAATATCTAAGAATAGGTTGGTTGGATTTAATGGCATATCAACCACTGTAGGTCATTTAATGCCAAATATATATATATATATATATATATATATATATATATATATATATATATATATTATATATATACAAGGTAACCAAAAAGTTCTGTCCGTTTTTTAAGGAAAAAAAAGAAAACGCTTCACAGTATGTGTAACTTATATTTAATCTTCGAAGTAATCGCTATCGGCATCCAGCACCTTCTGCCAACGTGTCTCCAGCTGTTCAATGCCCTTGCGCTAGAACTCGGGGGGGGGGACGCAAAGAAGTCCGTGAGGGCTTTGCGCAAGTCTACTTCATTGGTGAAGGATTTCCCACGAAGATGATTATCCAGGGAGTGGAAGAGATGGTAATCGGATGGCGCAAGGTCAGGTGAATAAGGTGGATGGCACAAAGTCTCCCACCCAAGTTGCTGTACGGTATCCCTGGCCACTCGCGCGACATGCGGCCTGGCGTTGTCATGGAGGAAAAGCGCACCTTTGTGATTCACCAGTTCTGGCTCGTTCAGGCGCAATGCCTGTTGCACACGTTTCAATTGCTGCGATTATAGGTCTCCAGTGACCGTTTGGCCCGTCGGTAGCAGTTCATAATGAACCACTTGACGACCTGTCCACCAGACACAAAGCATAATCTTGCGTGGGTGCATAGGCGGTCTTGCGGTGTGAGGGACAGCATCCTGAGGAGATAACCAATATCTGGAACGCTTGGGAGTTTCGTACAGAATCCACTTTTCATTACTGGTAATAACTCGATTGAATAAGGATGCGCTACGGTGGCGAGAAAGCAGCGATACGCAGGCTGCCACTCGTTGTCCCTTGTGGACCTCCAATAGCGTTTGCGGAAGCCACTTACTCACTTTGTACATCTTACCTGGGAGGTGCAGGTGAAGTCTAACCGTTTCATCGGAAACGATGAACTGTCTTGTAAGTTCACACGTTAGACTACTGTTTTCTTCAATGGCCGCCTTCAGGACCGTCATTCAAGACCTGTGGTCGTCTACTGCGAGGCTCATCATGGAGAGACAAATCTCCCGACTTGAATTTTCGAAACCAACGCCTTGCAGTACATTCATCCACAGCACTATCCCCAAACGCTTGACATATGTGGCGACTTAATGCAGCTGCTGATAAGCCCACTTTGAAGACGTAAAGCAAACAGCTCCGAACGCGATCTCTAGACACTTCCATCCTTCTCACAGCTGTCTGGCTTATAACTGATGGTGTTTTTTATAACGTCTGATGTTCCTACTTCCGGCTTTCCGAATTTGAAAACAGTTGCTACATTTCGTATATAATTCAACTTCATTCAATGACTAATCAAAAAACGGACATAACTTTTTGGTTACCTTGTATATATATATATATACATATATATATATATATATATATATATATATATATCATTAATAGAGATCTTATAAGTATAAGAAACTATGCTCGTACGGAAAAACTTCCGTGTGTTGATTTGCAAATAAACAAGCCAATACCAAAATGGTACGTTTGCCGAAAATAATCGTCCAGCATACGAGTCCAAGGTCCAAAGAAAGAAAAAAAACCGATGTGAGTACCCAAAATAACTAAATGAAGTGCTCAATACAATGAGTAGAGCAGCCCTAGTGTATATATATATATATATATATATATATATATATATATATATATATAGTACTAGTAAACGTATAGCTGGCAACATTATCGTCATACCCAGGACGTGGACATATGATGGAAAAAACTGGGAGTTCACTATTTCCCCATAGCCAAGGCCCTAACAGGTGTTACCACCGCGGGTTAGATTGTACCTGGGAACACCAACAATTTAGAGGTGGTTCCACGCTTCCTCAGAACCTCCTGATCAGAGGCCTTGCTGTTGGATGTAGTTTATCGTCTTACCCAGGACGTCTAGGAATAAAGAGTAATCGGACACTTGTACTTAGAATCATAAAGAGAGTGTTACAATTTCTATACGTTGCTCTTCGAATCAATTTAACATTCTTGGGAACCATAATGATTTCAGACCTGAAGAAATTGATACTCACGGGACAGAATGAAAACATAATTACTAGAACACGAGAAAAAAATCACCTAACTGACTCAAGGAAACTTTTTTAATGGATAACAAACAAGGGACTAGGAGGTATAGTAAGGGGAGAATATTCCTCTGGGCTAGAATTAATAGAAAAACATGATCGCCTAGTTTCGAAAGGATCACGAAATATAAAAGACGATTCTGTCAAAATCTTTAACGGTACATTTAAGTTTTTTTTTCATTAGTATAACCTCAAGCGAAGCAGTGCATCTACTAGCACGCAAGGAGTTAAGTTAACGACGGAAATGTTCTACGCTCAAAGCAATGAGATCAATTCTACTGGAATCCTTTTAAACCGTTCGAAATATTCACTTGATTCTTCCATTTGTTTTATATTAGTGACGTCCAGAGCACAAACAGATTCAAGTATAATTTGGTAGAGAAGCCATAGTTTCGACCTTCTCAGGTCCGTATTCAATTATTGCACACGCGTATTTCAGTCGGCTATTACAACACCGAAGAGTCACTCAATATACTAAATGTGATATTTTATATGAACGTTAGACGGGGAAATCAAACGTGGAGATTATGAGGATATAGAAGATAGATAATTCTTAATCTTAGATTTAAGAGAAATTTTCTGCCTTAAAATCATCAACGCCCGTGTCTGCTTCACAAAAGAATGGTTCTAAGTTAAAAAAAAATAAAATTGCGGATAGAATGCCGTTCTTAGTAAATGAACACGAACGGAATAGGCTGATTCATGGCAACGATGCTGCTAGGCACGTCTTATTTAACTAAAGCTAGATCGGTCTGTATTAAAAAAGAGATATCGTCATAATTTTTGTTGTGGTAATAGCGATAGTGTACGTAGAGTCTAGCAACGTTTCATTTGTGGGTAAGGCTCTATTGGGAAGGGTAAAAAAGAACCCACCCCCATCTCAAGGCCGCATGTATATTTTTTTAACACAAAGCAGTCACACGAGGATTGGGAAACTCCAGCCCAGCGATTGCTGCGATATTCCGTTTTAATCTGATCTAGCTCAATTACTTTCTGAAGGGGTATAAGAAGCTGACAATTTTCTATGCATCTTTAGAGATGGATTGAAGGATTCCTACTTGATGTATGGTTAGTTGACTTTGTTTCGCGGCATATCAGCCTCTCTAGGTTATTTAATGCTGAAATCTAAATATATTTTGAACGCAATTGTATGCCTTCAATTATAGATAAAAATGTATTGTTAGTAATTTTTACTATAAATATACATTGTTGATAATCTTTTTATATAAAAATAAATTACTTGTATTTTTAGTATAAATATCTATTTTATACTTTCATAGTGTTTCGTTTTTGTTTAGGTGTTCACTATTTGCCCATAGCAGGGACCATTATAGATGCTACCCGACCCCTGGTCAGCGTGGACCTGGGAACAAAAGCAGTTGAGAAGTGGTTCCACGAACCGTTAATTTCTCGATCATAGGGCCTTGCTGCCGGTTTAAGTTTATTGTCAGACGTAGAACAAGATGCAGAGAGAAAAGATGAATCCCAGTGGTCGTTCAAACAAGGAGTTTCATTAGTTCGATGTGTAATGATAGTTAAAACCACAACAGTGGAACTCGAGGAGCCAACACTATACTACTGAACGCTCAGAAGACGCTTTCACTCGAGGAGGTCAAAATGATTTTTATTGATATTAGGTGCGAGTTTTCTTTATATCTCCAGAAGTAACAGACCTGTCTACTCTAGCTTCCATCATCTCGCGTGTTCATCGTCTAAAGTGAGTCGGTAGAAAAGTCCTTCACATCAAACCTGCAGTTTTCCAATTCCAAAGTCTGGGCATCGTGGATTTAAACTGTTTCGACTAACAATGTGGTCGTGAGCCGAAAAAATATTATATGCAAAAATAACTGTCTATATTTCTGAGATGAGGTATTATGTACATTATTTACATTATTCGGACTATTGTCCTAATCTTTGTCGCCACCCATAAAACATGGCACGTGGAACTAGAACAGACTACCCCAGTGAGCGAAATAAAGGGTTCAGTTCGACATTCCAACCACCTGAAGAAGCCCGGAGCGTACAATGGCCGAAACGTTGTAATAAATATGGCGACAAAGATGAAGACAATAGTCCGTATAATGTAATTAATGAAAAAATAAATATAATAATATTATAAATCATCAACTCATTTTGTGTAATATGGTTCAAGACCCTGGGGATCATGGACCTTAAAATCTTCCTATATTTTGTAGCTCTAAACAATATTTGTCCCTTTCTACCCCACCACTTCGCGGTTCTGTTAAGCATTTATGCAAACTCACTCACTCGCTTTTTCCCCTCTGAGATTTCTGTATTTAAGTGTCAAATTCTCCAAACTCTCTCCCTTTGTGCAAAAGAAATTTGAAAATGGACTGCATAGCAAGGTATATAATAACATTTTCAATATTTCTTAATAAGTGGGATTCTTGTATACGTCCCAAACTAATTAAAAGAACTGTTACATTGATTTGTTACGGGTTATCAACCATTTTCAGCTTACTTAAAGCAAGAAAATATTTATTGCATTGAAAGAATTTATTGGGAATTATAACAAGTCCTACTATATTACCCATTGTGGAGAGAGAGAGAGAGAGAGAGAGAGAGAGAGAGAGAGAGAGAGAGAGATGGATTATAATTTTCCAAGGGTGTATATAACATATACGACTGGAATTTGAACTCATTTCTCAAATTTTCAATTCCGAGCCTTTAAGCATTATACCACCCGCACATCCAAGCATGCAGCATCTGTTAATTCGCAAGAAGTCATCCATCTAAGTACTGACAAGGCTCGAAGTAGCTTAACTTCGGTGATCGGAACGAGATCCTGTGTTTCAAATTGATACCGCTTAAGATGATATTTTAAGCGTAGCTTAGATGTGGCACAAGGCCGAAAGTATTGAATAACCAATGAGGATAGAACCCATTATTCAGTTTTAATTCATGTAGCGAGACAAGCTTGTTAATCATTACACCACGTCGAAGTGCCCATGTGTTATGGCTTAAGCCCATTATACCACCGCATATCCAAGCTTACAGCACCTCATATTCCCAAGCAGTCATTCATCTGACAAGGCTCGACGATACTTAACTACGGTGAGCGGAACAGACGCCGTTTTTTTTTAAAAAACGTAATATTGCCGTAAGCGGGAAACATTAGAGGAATCAGATTCAAGTGAAAACAGAAAATTTCTAGACCATAACATTGCTACTGTAGATGTGGGCGATACTTGCTGTGAGAACGAGCAAATGCAAGAAACAATAACATTTGTAGTGTTTACATTGGTGACAAATTTTTGTTCTTCTGTTTCTTTATGTAAAGGTTTTTTTTCATCTCCGTTTACCGCTTCTGAAAATGATGTTTTTCTTTTTCAAGATCGCGTCTTCATGTACACTGATGTTTTGTCATCTTCTCATATTTACGCCTAGGATCAAATAGTTTCTCTTTAACACTGACAGGAACATAAACACTTGCTCAGAGGAATTTAAAGAGCATTTCTCAATATGGGCAAACAATTCCCAGAAGCACATTCACACAGACAACCGGATGCGTGAACGTCAACAAGGAATGCATATACGTTTTCATATCTGTCTATTTTCATTATAAGTTTGTTTGTCACACTGCCAGCTTTTATGAGAACGAATCCTGATCGCCTACATTTCAGTAGCCAAAAGAATACTTAATTTATGCTACACGCTTTCCCGCTTTCAAATTTTAAAGTCATACTGCTGTTTACACTTGGTCGACCCCACATTTCAAACCAAGATTCGCCATTGCATGTTCTAGCAAGTTATAGTGATTAGGTCGCAAAGTCGGAAGTCTTCTGTTAGACTTTACTTCTTCCTGGCTGAGTCCTTTCGTATGGATGATCTAACAACCGAGTCAATTTAATATATCTTAAAATCCCCGAAGAGGATTATCAAATTATATTTCTGTCTGCTTCACCTTCCTTCGTTAGTTATTTAAAAGGTATCGCCCTGCCATTACCTATAAATAATAGACTATTCCGTTTTTATCACGAGAAATAAAAACAGCGATCCCGTTTGATATCGGCGAGAAAAAAAGAAAGCAAAAAAAAAAAGGACGTGACTATATTGCTCTCAAATCTTTAACGTCTGCTTCATGAAAAAGTAAAACTTTGTGAATTTTAAATATTTTCATTGGTATCCTCCTAATTCTTTAAATAATGATCTGCACTCCAATTCTTAAATGTGACACAAAGCCAAAAGTATAGGACACTCACTGAGGATCGAACTCTATACTCATTCGTAACTGATCTAACGATGTGCCCAAAATGATTTCCTAAGGATAGCTTAGATGTATCACGAGGCCGAAGGTGTAGGGTATCCAGTAAGGATTGAACTCTCTACTCAGTCGTAATTGATCTAGCGACATAAGCTCGTTAGCCATTACACTACTTCAATTTTCCCCTAATGATTTTATAAGCGTAGTTTAGATATGGAATAAGTCCAAAAGTGTGTAACACCCACTGAGAATCGAACTCTTTATTCAGTTTTTAATTTATTTAACAAGACAAGCTTGCTAACCATAACACCACGTCTAAGCGCCCCTGCATTCATATTTTATTATTGTTATTCCAATGTTTTGTTAAAGTTATTAAACTCAAATATTTAACGGTAACATTAGGAATTTTCCAAAATATTTTATCGTCATAAAAACCGCAAGGAGATTATTCAGTCATTAATAATTTCTATTCATCAGAAAATTCAAAAAGCAAAACCGTTAAATTTTCGCGGTTAATTCTGGTAGTTATAATTCTAGAAATATTTTAAATTTTCTGTATTTTTTCTTAACAGAAGTTACATGTTCAGATAATATATTACATCTTCTGATATATGACTAATCACAGACATAGATTGATAGGTAGTGTAACGATTTGATTTCAAATCAGAATTACGGTGAAAGTAAAAAAAAAATGATTAAACTGTAAAGAAAATAAATTTGTCTAATATAATTAGACTTGCTATAATATGCTTTTTAACCGTCATGTCTATTATTTATTGTTTCACTATTGATAGAACATCTTGGAAATACTAATGAAGAGGTTTCCCATTTGATCTAAATATAGAGTAGTCATTCTCCTAGAATATTAGGCTGGTTTCCTAATATTTTACCAACAGCTGGTGGGAGGAATTTTCATTATTTACATTATTTGGACTATTGTCCTCATCTTTGTCGCCATATTTATCCCAACGTTTCGGCCGTTGTACGCTCCGGCCTTCTCAAGGACACGTGGCATAGTGGATAAAGGCGTTGGTTAGATCCAATGACAGGACCCAAAGAGTGTGAGTTCAATACCCGGTTAAGGCAGTTGAGAACTTTCAGAGGGAAAATTAACAGGTGATAACTGACATCCATCAAAACATGACACGTGGAACTAGAACAGTCTACCCCAGTGAGCGAAATAAAGGGTTCAGTTCGACATTCCAACCGCCTGAAGAAGGCCGGAGCGTACAACGGCCGAAACGTTGTAATAAATATGGCGACAAACATGAGGACAATAGTCCGAATAATGTAAATAATATACATAATACCTCATTTCAGAAATAAAGACAGGAATTTTCATATCTTTAACACCAAAAGAAACGGTCTGCTTTTGAACTTTGAAGGTTGATTTCTATTTTTATTCGCCCCGATAAGTATTAAGCAACTCGTCTATTCGCAATTAGTAAAGCTTATGTAATAAAACAGGGTGCTTCGCGAAATACTGAAATGAAGGATAGTTAAAACGTTAGATATCATTTACAGTCAAGTCGTTCATTTCTGGTCACTAGGGTATTTCGAAAAACTGGTGCACTGTCAAAGATCTTCCTGTGTTACAGAGCGGGCACAATTCTCACCTACCGATTGAATATTATTTCCTATCATGCGCTGTAGACTAATTGACACTGTGTATCAATAAAAAGATAAATCCTTTATTCAATAATGCCATAAATGTATCATCGATATAATTGGCTGTGATACACGGCCTTGGAGATTTCTTGAGTTTGAGCTTTGATATGTTTTCTAAATTTGATAGTTTTCTTTTATCAGCCGTGTCACTTTAGGAGGTGGGTGAATACGGCTTTCCACAACTTCTTGTTCATAATAATTTGGCACCCCATTTGTCTCTATTATCCAGTCACTCGAACGTATTAGGTAAATTACTTGTACCCCCTGCTAGTTCAATGTCTTGTAAATGTCGAATTCATGAAGTTTTTTAGTTCGTTCGTTTTTTTTTTCTTTGTTTCTTTTACATGTTGGTTGCCTTCAGAATGTACGTGATTATGGCTTTCCTTAATTCTATGTCCCTGGCAAAGTTTTTAAGTGTAGGCAAACACGGAAATCCCAAACTGTAAAGAACACATCGTGAAACTATTATTCTATCTTTCCCACAAATATATAATACGATAATAAAAAAGGTATCTGTTGAGATTTATCATTGCCGATGTCCTGAAGGCAAAGGACATTAAAAATCACATACATACATTTTAAAATAATATATGCATAAATATATCTTTATTCATACATTATTAATATTATATTAAATCTGGATTAAGATCAATAGCAGGTTCCGACAATATTCAAACTTTAATCTGGTCTCTTGTTTTCTTTCATAGACGAATATTATAAAATTTGGCTGAAAAGGCTAAACATCTTGACGCATTTCCTTCTTGAACCATATAACTACGACCGTTTCGACTTGATTCCTACTGATTTACATTCCTGTGTCTTAGTAAATGTATAGACTTCCTGTTTCTTAGAGATATTTGGATTTTGAGTTCTGATTCACTATGTCAAATGCTCCTAGAATTTAAATAACTAACTCCAATCGAAACGATGTAGCAAAAATAAAAAAAAAGAAGATATACAAAAATTAATAAAGAATATATCCTATGTAATTTATCCAATTCACAATAAATTTAATTGAAAATATTTTCTTGATTATATCACTCCTGGTTGCATATTTGAGGTCAGATATTTTCACTTCTTTTTTATATGGTCTGGTTCATATCTGTCGGGTCAGTTACGACACAAAGGACCAATTTATTTCGTATTAGAAACGATTTGTATCAGACTTCTGAGAAATAAATTTTATCTTTTTTTTTGTTCATGATTTCCTTAGAAAATGTTCATGAAAGTGTTTTGCGACTAGGTTTTTGGTGCAGTAATTAATTTAAACGTCACATAACGACAAGCGGCTTGTTTAATTCCTTTCGCTGTCGATGGCGAAGAGAAATAATGTTAACCTAATCACAACGCAAAATCTTTGACATCGTTTGTCTTTGTTCTTCACTATTCATTTATTAAGCATATAACTTTTAAATGTATTCTTCCGCCTCAATCTTCAGTACATACTGACAATTATATTTCGTTCAATCATCATTTAGTGTCATGTATAATTGATTTAAATTGTTATGGAATATTTAAATATTGCTGGTGGTATCTGTAGGAATTAGCATAGACGTCAAGGTATCAGTATTATCAAAGTTTACTATTCGAAGTTTTCATAGACTATCGATTCAAATTGGGAAATACTATCAGGAAAACCAAGCAGATATTTTATCAAATAACATTCTCGTTGCTTACATCATCGTTACATAGATTCTGATGAGTCAATTCAAAATATTAAATATGCTTGCAGTGGATTACTCAGAAATAATCTTATGAAAATTTTGGATATTTTTCAGTATCATCTTACACTATTTACATTATTCGGACTATTGTCCTCATCTTTGTTGCCATATTTATCACAACGTTTCGGCCGTTGTACGTTCCGGCCTTTTTCCTTTTTCCGGATTTTGGAATGTCGAACTGAACCCTTTATTTCGCTAG